GCAAACCTTTGATAGATCCGGCCCATGGTGTTTACAGGATTATCAATCCCTCCCCTGTGAACTGAGGGGTGTAGTGTTGGTAGCTTGACATAATGGTGCTTGATAAACATTTCAGAATAAAAGGATTATCTACACAGGGTCAAACCAAGCATGGTGGGGGTAGCATCAGGATGTGGGGTTATGTTTCACCAAACAGCACTGTGTTTTGTCTGGAGATGGATTAAATGGAATGAAGTATAAGCAGCTCCAGATGCCAAGAAATGTAAAACCAGAATTTTTTTATTTATTTTTTTAAACCTTAACATCAAACTACAGCTTTAGAGATTCAGTTTGGTTTTTAATTTCTGATTAATAGAATATAGCTGCTGAGATGATGTCAATCTTGTTACATCAACCAAGACAGTAGTATCCGGTTTTATCATCAGTAATTGTTTTGAAAGTAGAACAATAATCAAAAAAGCTTAAAAAGCAACACTTTTCTGAAATACCTGAAAGTTTTTAAATACCTAAGATACAATTAGTCATTGTTAAAAACATGTTTACCTTATGGTGCATCATAAGCAACCGTAGCACAGCTGTCCTCATTAGTTTGATTAATTACTTTAAATATTTGTCAAACTATATTTCTATGGTTCTGGAATCTGTTTTATTTCTTCAGAAAAAATATTTCTACAAATACAAACAAGCAGCACAAAAAATCTATAGTTAAAAAAAACACTGAAGACTTTTAAGGATAATTTTCTATTTTATAAATAATTCTTAATAGGAACGTTTGCTCAGGTTTTATGTCTGTTTTGGGCAACCTTCCTAAAAAGTGCTGAAAACCATTAATTAAACTACTAATTAACTATTAATTAAGCTTTGAGATCAATTAATATTGTTTAAATTTTAATTTGAAAATCTCCTGGATTGTACGTATAGAGACACTCTGTAGACTTTACAGTTTATCAAGTGGTTTGTGGCTACTTATGATTTCTTTGGAGTTTTTAGAGTTTATCTAGAAGCTGATAAGAGGCTAGTATTTGGGGTTTTATCTCTAAATGCTTTTTCTTTATTTGAAATATTAGAGGCAGCCTCTCCGATGCACAAAGGAGACGATCACAGAATCTGCAAGAATAGTATTCATGATAAAAGGAAGAAAACCTTCTCTGCATGAAAAAAAGGAGAATAAACTACACTTTATGAGAGGATAAGCTGAGCCTGCTTCAGCTCTACATTCACTTTGAATATCTTTGAATAAAACATCCAAAAGGAACCAGGTAAACCTCAGTAGTTACAACTTTCTTTGTTTCATCTATCAAAGCCTTAATCTGTGGAGAGGAACAAGAAAATCAGAGGTTCTTGTAGTCAAGTTGTGCTTAAAGTGAACATTTATAGGCCTGATTTGGGGAAAAATGCGTGAGAAAGCTCCAGTAATTTAGGTCAAATTGCAGCTGAGCGAATGTAGTTTAAGTGCCACAGTAATTGCTTAATTGCAGTGAATGGTATGAAAAACACAAGAGCTTTAAAGTTCAAGTCTGTCCTTGTTTAAAACAATCATTTTTTTAAAGCAAGTCAACGTAGAGTGTCTGCTCTTTGTGTGTTAATGGCGAGGCTGTTGAAAACAACAAAGCTGAAGGATGCGAGTCAGTGTTTGTGTAAGTGAAGGGTTGTGCTTCTCTTTTCAAAGGGTTGTGTAGTCCAAGTCGGAGCGTTCCTGAAGACAGCTGTGTTATCTCGTGAACAGATCCTCTTGAATTGTTTCAAAGGCTCTCTCCTGTCTTCTCCACTTGACTGCTTGTTTCTGTGCTGTTTTGTGTTTTGCTCTCCTCGCCGCTGATTTCTGTGCATGCAGCTGAACAAGCCGTCAGAGCCGCCCACAGCCACTGAGATTGTGCCTCTGAGCCCAGGAGAGGTTTACTACGAGCCCACAGGGGGAGAGCCTGTCACAGTAACCAACACACACTGTTTATGCACAAACACAAATGTGCACACAGATGTTAAACAAATGTTTTTATTTTAAGACTGCGACTCATACAGTGACTTTTACTGGCTGCTTGTAAGGAGTGTTTGGTATCTGCTTTGCTCCAGTCAATCAAAAGTTGTTAAAGGGATAGTTCAGTTTAGTTTTTTGTTGTTTTTTTTTAAAGTGAAGTTATGTGGAGTAGTCAGGAGAACTTTCTAACCCTTCAGCAGTGCGGTTTAATATGAACACTGCAAAAAATGGAAATGTGAATGACTTATTTTTGCTTAAATTGAGTGAATTTTGTCTTGAATTGAGGAGATAAGCAGAGATGGCAAAAGTACTCACTTTCCGTACTTGAGTAAAAGTACAGATACT